GGAGAAAGGGGGACATCTGTAATACTTTCAACAATAAAGACAAATTTAATAAAATAAAATAAAATTAAAATTAAATTAAATAAAAGCAAATTAGGTCTAGACAAAGGAAAATAGACTCAGGGTGAGGGTAGAAGGATGTTTCCTAAAATGCTTTTTAGTTGTTTAACTAAAAGTAATCTAATTTATTTTTATTTTATGTTGTATTGCAAAAGCTTAAATAGCTTTTCTGCCAATCCATAAGTAGAACCTGACAAAGGGAGCCCTTAAAACTTGGGGACTTTGGCAAGAATCACTTCACTGATCAACTATATGTTCATGTAATACCATTATTTTGAAAGCTAAAAATATCAAGGAAAGAGTTCTCTTTTTGTTGCTTTTATCCCAATCTGTGTGTGTGTGCATGCATGTGTGTGTGTAATAGTAAACATAATAAATACTATTGTTATGAAGTTCTAAAGTCTTCCTCTTCAGAACCTAGGTTCTAATGTTATTCTCAAAAATCGGTAGGCGGGTAGATGATTAAATAAATGATAGATGATAGATAGATAGATGATAGATGATGATAGATAGATGATAGATAGATAGATAATAGATAGATAGGTAGATAGATGACAGATATAGACGATAGATAGATAGATAGATAGATAGATAGATAGATAGATAGATAGATAGATAGATAGATGATAGATAGATAGATAGATAGAGATAGATGATATAGATAGATAGATAGATAGATAGATAGATAGATAGATAGATAGATAGATAGATAGATAGATAGATGATAGATAGATAGATGATAGACAGATAGATGATAGACAGACAGATAGATATAGATGATAGATGATAGATAGATAGATAGATGATAGATAGATAGATAGATAGAGTTTAAAATGTATTTTATTTTTTAAACAGCAACTGTTGCTTAGATGAATTGTGTACTGCAAGGCATGCTTCCCGGAGGCATATGGTTTGGGGGTTGCCATAAAAAGCTAGATCTGGAGCCTTCCCTTAGCAGAGAGCACTGTGTTTATGATTTAACTGTTAGTTAGCAGCAGCGTATCATCGGCTTCAACACTCAGAGATGTAACCGTGATCTTTCACATTAGAAAACAATACCCAATTAACTGGAGCATGATGTTCTGCACACCTTACCCAAACACCACATCCTCTGGTGTTTCGTTCAAAATGCAGGGCCCCAATCAAGCCCGGGAGCGCCATGTCCACCGCAGCCCAGTGCCACCCTGTCCCATGCTCTGGGCTTCCACTCCTGAGCTCCCTAGGCCTGAGGGAGCTTCCCGACCCACCCATCTACCCTGCCGGAGAGCACACACCTTCCCTGTACCCTGGCTGTTTACCAGTGTGAGTGGGTATTTAATTCAGGTTTGGTATCCCAGCCTGTGTCCCGCACAGTGCCAGCCACGAAGCAGGAGCTCAACAAATGTCTCCTGAGCTGAGGAAAGAATAAATTAATGATGAACATATCAAGTGCTGGGCCTTGCTGTACAAGTTGGAACACAGATTTGAGGGAACTAATTTTTATTTGATTTTAAAAAGCAGCAGAAGAGGACGGGGGTGGAATTTGCTTTAGTACCTTGAGAGGTTTAATTTCTTTTCCTTGCCCATATGACTCACTCTGCTAACTGAACATTTTAGGTAATAGTGACTCTAATATTCTGCCAGTTTTATAAATTTTCATCTTCAAATGAGTTCCAAATGAAGCATAAGCCCCAAGAGCAGCCAAAAAGCTCTGCATTACATAGAAAGGGGGAGAGAACACTGGGAAGCAAAAGATTCTATTTAAGAACAAGTGAGTGTCATCTCTGATGAGCTCCCACTTGCTGGCCTCCGAGTGACCCGGAAGTACATAAAAGCACAGCACTTAAGCTGGGTAAAATGAATGATCCCTGATCACAAAACTGTTGTGAGGTCTGGAACTTTATCTCATTCTTTCTGGAGGACAGAAATCCTCCTAATGACCTTCATCAACCCAACATCTATTATTGTACTCACCAAGCTGAATAATCATTGTATAGCCCCTTCTCTGCCTTTCCAACTAGTTTGTTAGCCTCTTGAGGCTTCTATTATATCCCCAGTGCCTAGCACAGCTCCTGTTACATAGTAGGTGCTCAAAAAATAACAATCCTTACACTACTCTCAGCACAGTACAAGGTCACGGGACTGAGAGGGACCTCAGAAATAAGTTAGTACTCTTCCTTTTCGAGATCAGAACAGTGACAGGCAGAGAAGCAAAATAAATTGCCAGGGTCACAACATCAGAGCACACAGTAGTGTGCCTTTTTTTGTGGGTTTTTTTTTTTTTAATGTTTCTCCTCTCAGCCCATAAGTCATGGGAAAGATCCAAGAGAGGCTTGAAATGACCTTTTCATGCCTCAAGAGCTTCTTCTAAGTAAATGTGTCTTTTAGAAGTTACAGAACATTAACCTGCAGTACATAGAAAATGGAATGTAGAGGCTTTCACTTGGTCAATTTATTTTGGGGGGTGGAGCCCATCATTCTCAAATTCAACTCATAAATTTAACATCTCTCCTTTTTCTCCGGGGCCTTTAAGGGCTTCTTAAAGTCACAGTTAAGAGGCCCAGCTTCTTACCCTTCACGTAAAACCAAATCATAAAATTACAATTTCAGTATTTTAATTAAGTCTGTGTGAGTCCACCAAGTTATTCTGTAGCAGCAAAATAAGATAAAAATTATGTAAAGCACAGGGACCAATTTATCACCCCTTTACTCATGATTAATTCAACAAGCTTTTACTTCCATGTTGAGGTGACAAATAGTAATATCCCTGATTGACTGCATCATATGAGAAATGGGACTTTCTTCTACCCCTAAATTAGCCTTCTACAGATCTAGAAATATATTCTCTAACATGGATGAAAAATGGGCTTTGCTGCCAGTGAGATTTGGGAGGAGTGAAATGCCCAGAGCCAGTGGGCTGAAGAGATATCAAGAAACAGGGGTCCCCAGTGCCACACCAGCTCCCAGTGAGGTTTCCTGAGTGGGCCTATGCCTCACAGACAGTCTGAGTTGCTAATTTACTAGCACCTCTCTATTCAGGGCAGTTTCCCTCAGGCCTTGATTTCCTCTTCTGTCTCTCTCCCCTGGATCAGGAGACTTGAGAATGGAACCTCCTGATTAATGTGTCAAGAATCATAGACTCTCCTTAATGGACGATCTCTCTGCCTGCTCAGGGCACCGACTCAGCCTGCTGAGCTGGGTGGGAGCTGCCACAACGCGTTAAATTCACAAACACAGGCCGGTGCTCGGTAATGATTCAAACTGCCCTAAAGGACAGAAAGCCTCTGGATCCATAAGCTCCTCTTCAGACTGCCTGCAGGGTCTCCTCTGCTCTCTGCCCTGGCACGTCCCTGCCAAGTGTCTGTGGCAGGAAAGCAAAGATGCGGATTCCTCTAGTCACAAAACGAAGCTTGAACCTCCAGATGAGGGTTTTGTCTTGTGACACACTCGACTGCCTACTCACAGGCACGAATCTGTCTCTTCAAGCAGTTTTCCAAAGCAATTTTCTAAAGTGGATCCTTAAAACACGTCGGGATGAATCATTAAAACATTTCAGGATGGTGATGCTCCTGGAAGGGAAAGGATGCTGCAGAGAATGGAAGGCACTTCTCTGCTTCTGAATGAGTAAATGAATGAAGCAGCAGTGCCTGGGAAACCTGCCCCTCTCACATCTCCATCAGGAGTCGCTGAAAACCCCACCTCCTCACTGACAAATCCTTCTTTAAAAGGGGCAATCAGTATCTATTGCATCATCTCCAAACCCCCTTGCACATGAAACACAACCTGGGTGGTGCTGATATATCTCAGGAACCTCAAGGCCTCTTCATCCAGGGACTGAGCAGGGCCTGCCCAAGGCTGCAGGTCTATGTGCCACCGAGAACCCTGTGAGAGAGAAAACATAGTTGGTGTTTAAGGGGTGAGGAGTTTGAGGGTGGGGCTGGAAAGACCTAGAGTACGAAACAGGCGACAAGGCTGCTCCAGCTGCCTGCAAAACAAGCCCATCTGCACACAGGGCGCAGGGAGCTGGTTCAGAGCTGCTGTCATTAAGACCACATCAGTCACAGGGAGACAAATGAGGCCTGAGAAAGCCCAGCTACCAGGCTAAGCAGAAGATTGCAAAGACGTCCCTGGGGATATCTGACTCTTCTGATCAAAGGCAAACGCCACTTGACCCCATTCAGCTCTCTCAGCTGCAGCTCCCATTCAGAAGAAACACTCCCTAAAGCCTAGTGCATCAGAGATATGTGCCTACTCTACAGGCGAGTTTTGTTGCCTCAGCACCATAATGCCTGAAATCTTGGGACACTTGGCACCTTCCCCAGCTCAGGGAGACAGACGAGGTGGCAAGGAGGCACGGTGGCGCCACCCAGTGTTCCAGATTTCCTGGCCTTTGGGACTTCGCGCATGTGGGTGAGGTGCCCAGAGCTGTCACCAGCTGGATCTGGCAAGGGTGGCCTTCTAGCACTGTGAGGCAGCCCCCACCTCTCAGCAGAGGACATATGGAGCTCCCCTGAGCAGACTGGCTAGAAATCAACCCTAAGACTCCTTTTGTAGTAAGAGTGGTGAGGTGGATGAAGGGTTGGAGGAGGCAATGGTCTGGAAGAAACAAAAATAGGGACCCCTCCAGTCAACAGGAAGCAATAGTCATGAAGTCCTTGCTAGAGTTCAAAGTTCCCCCACCTATGGTTCTTACCACCTGGAAACTTCCTGGAGGCTCACTGTAATTCCAAGGGGTGAGTACAGTGGTGGAAAGGGCTGGGGGACCTGAGAAGCTCAGCTGCTGGCAGGGTACATGTCTAGTGTCAGGAAAGACTCTGAGTGTCTTAGCGCAGGGGTTCCTGCAGAGTGCTTGGGATGGTCCCCTAAACTCCCTTTTATGGTGAGGAAGGGGACAAGGGAGGGTTCTGGGGACAAGCAAAGGGACACTTCCTGTATATACATTGTTATTCAGTTAGGTATTGTTATCATCTGAATGTTTGTGCCCCTTCAGAAATTCTTAATTTTTGAACAAGGGGCCAGCATTCTCATTTTGCACTGCGCCCCACAAATTATGCACTCTGTTTGCCCTGAGGGGCAGCTTTTCTGGAAAAACAGCCTTTTCTTATAGCTGTTCTTGTTCTGTGAAGGTTGAACAGGCAGAGACTCTATCAGAGAGCGCCTGAGAACATTAGCTCATATATCTTTCTAGTTACTGTCTTCTACCCCCACCCCAGTTTTTTTTTCTTCTTGTGAATTTGTTTTTATTGGGATACGGAGGATGGGTCAGGAAATTCCACCACCACCACCACCCACGTTTCTTTTTCCCTTCTCTGAATTTGATGCTGATTATCATTTGGTTGAACAATGTTTACGACGCGTCAGCCACTGTGCCAGGCACTGGCCAACACAGATGTGAATAAAACCCGGACGCCCCCGGAGGTGCTCACAGTCTGGTGGGGGAGATGAATGTGTACAAAATAACTTTGATAGGGAAAGGCTGCAACCCTAGGGAGAGCTAGTGTTCGCAGGGCACTATTTAATTACGAAATCATGAATGATAAGCACATTTTAAATACAAACGCCTCTTAGTTTTGCCTGGTCATGTTGTTTTTGCATCAAATGACAAAGAGTGACTTCCCAGGTTGCCACTGGTGCCAGCACAGCAGCTTAATGCCCCATGCGGACCTGCCTGGGCCTGGGGTTTAAAGCTTCCCACGGCACTGTCGTGGGACCACTCACAAGTGCCCCTTGGCCCCGGAGCCTCTTGATGAAAATTATAAAGGTCATCCGTTACAGTTTTTCTCTAAACCAAGGATCAGTAAACATGTCCTGTAATGGGTTAAATAACAAATGTTTTAGACTTCGCAGGCCGTACAGTTTCTGTTGTAGCTCCTCACTTCCGGCTGTAGCTCAAAAGCAGCCTTAGACAGTAAGTAAACAAGTGGTCATGACTGCCCCCGACAAACTCCATTGACAGAAACAGGCTGGATTTGGCCCGCAGGGCTGCAGTTTGCTGACCCCTGCTCTACTTGATTATAATTTGGAGGTAGAATGGCCTAGAAGAGAGTGTTTACTTGAAATAAGGCAAAAGAGACAGATTATCATATCTAAATTATAACCAACTTTGTCATCTGGGTGATGTAGGCAAATGCCCGTCAGGGTCCCTGCAGTATACAGTGGGCTCCTTCTGACTGGGTAATTCGAGAAGAATTTAATAGACTCTTTTCAAAGGTACAGGCAGGATTTAATGAAACCAAGAAGGAAGAATGCAGTAATATTTGTGGCAGGTAGCACCAGACAGCCCTTATAAACCACAAACCTGAAGGAGAAAGGAGGGGGGGCAGTTTTTGAAACCCAGAGAGGGAAACAAGATGGAGAAGGCACTTAATGGGGGAACACAGCCAATCTTATCACATTCAGTCCTATTACATGCCCGCCCTGTCAAAGCCAACAGGAAGGCAGAGAGGAGGGAGCCTGTGGTTGGTCTACAGGGTACAAAGCAGGAGGAGCAGGGTACAGGGTGGACCTTGAGGGGCCAATGGCAGTGCCCCTGCACAGCATCCCATGGTGAACCAAATGGAAACTGTGATGTTATCTCAAGGATCCATAAACAGTATCCTTCTTGCACTCTGATATTTCTCATTTCCAACTGAGTGCTGGCCACAACACTACTGCTGGAACAGTGAATAATATAAGCTGAGAGATCTCAGGTGGCAATATAATAGAAACACACAGCCAAGAGATGCCCCCAGAAGTGCCCTGGCCCACTGCTTTGGTTGAGCTGTTTAAAAAACATTTCACATAAAGTAATGTTCTTATTGGAATCAGTCTGACAGTAATTTGTGATTATTTCCCCAAGGAAACCACTAGCTTTTATCATCTCTTTCAATTATCATTTGTCTTAATTCTACAGTGCACACATCAATATTTGTCCTTCAAAAAAATCCCACAAACTGAATTCTCTGATCACCTTAAAACGCCAATGGCCAGTGTTTAAAAGAACAAGGCAAAAAAATACTTTTCTTGTAAAATAATTTATCTTTATGATTTAGATAGAGTAGGCAGCTAGACAGGCAGGAGCACAGCAGGAACGACAGACCAGGTACAGAATGTCACCAGGGCAGAAAGTCCCAGGTGCCTAGCACTGGGCAAAACTGTAAAAACAAGTATTATAAGTAGGACCTTACCCACAGGATAAACTTTCCTCCCCTAGCATGTTGCTGGTCATGTGGTTTAGACCCCCTGACCTTTCACATCTCTAGTCAAGCTGTTGAGACACACGCTTAGAGGAGGAACAAGGCGGCCAGAGGATAGCCTCATAAGACTCCCATACAAGCTCTTGCATGACCACTTCCTTAAGCATTAAGCCCTCAGGACAATGAGATTCTGACCCACATCAAACAATCTTAGGAACAAAGCCTTGGGTCTCTTGACCACAGAGACAGAGTTTTGGTCAAACTAGAGATAAATCTAGACTTCAGTTGTGTTTCAGTTCCTGGCCCAAAAAAGCAGCAAAACCAGACAAATGATGCCATGGTTGATATTAAGACCAGATGTAATGACTAATGACCCCCCCTCTAGCACCAGCCCATCAGTGGAGACCATGACCCTGAAAAGACACAGGTGGAAACCTGATGAATATTCTATTGAAATCCTCCTCTGAGAACTTCCCTAAAATCCCCACCTTTGGAAACCAGATAAACACCCTTAAGACAAAGGACCCCAGTGTGCTCTCTCATGCTCTAGTGCTCTCTCTCTCTCAAGCACTCCCATGCCTTCCCCCACTTCTTTCTTTCCTCAGGGGAGCACTCTGGAGCAGCCCCCACCTTTCCCCTTCTTCCCTCAGGCACGTTATCTTTGCTTTCTTTCTCTGACCTCCAAGGGCCCTTTTTTTTGCCTCTATTACTTGTTTCCCGAGTCCACGCTGCCTCGCTGGCTCACTTTTACCTCTGTGACTCCCTAAATCAATTTCTTATGTTAGAGTTCTTGGCTTTGAATTATTTCTTAGCTTAACTCAAGAACCAAGGTCTAACACTCTAACTCTGCTGTTAACAGTTTTACCCAAACAATTTTCTAAACTCCAGAGTACACTATTATCCATGTGCTCCAAATAGCAAATGGCCAGTCAGTGCTACCCCATCATTCCTGGGAGGTAAGAACATGGATTAGTAGTTCTGTCTGAGCCCCTATTTCATCTTCAGATGGTAAAGGAGCAGCTTAAGCAGAAAGTGGTTAAAGGTACTGTCATTTAGGGCTGGTATGTCTGTCCCCAGCAGGCTTGAGTTCAAATGTCAAATGTAGCATACACAATGAGTTACCACAGAGAAGCCCACCATGCTCCTGAGCCTCTGTGGAGATGGCAGTGGGAGCCCTTGACTAGTTTTCAATCCCTGATCCTGCCCCCTACACTACTCATACAAAAGAGCCCCTTGCCCAGCACAAACCAGCATCTCAAGGAAGGCCGGCTCCTGGATTTCTGAGGAAAGGAAGCAACTCCTCTTTTGTTTGTGAAGGCTTTAGTTGGCACTTTCTCAAAGAAATGTGCAATGAAAAGTGAGCTGGCCTCTTCTAATGAGGGGCAAATGTTTTGATTACATAGAAAAAATTTCCAAAAATTAAGAACAGCAAGAGATTCTATAAACAGCTAGCTCGTGTTGTTTGAGGCTATTTTACAGACATCCGAGATTCTGTTTCCCAAAGGGTAAAAAGTGATCACTGAGTCAGTCCAAGCCAGTGCACAGAGTTAATGGACTTGGCTCAAAAAGGATTCAAAAAGCATAGCCATGAGGCTGTCAGATATTTTTATAATAGGATTTCAGCATTAAATGTGTTTCTTGAAAAAAGAAAATGATTCTTTCAAACCAAAGAAACTGAATTCCAAGAATTTATTAAAAGATACAAAAAATAAAGCAATATTTTAAAATACTCTTTGCCTACCAGCCTACATTTATGCACGTAAAAGAAATATATTAATTCAAGACCATAAACCCCAAACAAAACTGGTTACATTCAAAAATCATAGAAAACGGCAGACCCACCCATGACCTAGAAAAGAGAACCATCGATACTGCCTTCAGCAAAAGACTGTTTTGTCTTGAAATCTGGAATAACAGATTCCTTCTTCACAGGCAGTTTCCCCCACACCCTTGAATGACCTCACATAGCCCATGCAGAAACTGTCAAATTAAGAACAGTATGACCATCGGTTATACAAGCAAGTTTTGTAAAAGCACTTTTTTCTCTTTTTTTGTATAATAAACCAAAAAATATAAAATAAGCCAAAGAAGGCTTCTAATGGTCCATTCCTCTG